TGTCAGCAGCCTATGATACTGTGAACCACCGCCTCCTCCTGAGGAAAATGTATAATATCACAAAGGACTACCACCTCACCCGCCTCATAGGAAACCTGCTACAAAACAGGAGCTTTTTTGTTGAGTTCCAGGGCCAGAGAAGCAGATGGCGGAAACAGAAGAACGGCCCTGCCTCAGGGGAGCGTGCTTGCTCCATCCATGTTCAACATCTACACAAATGACCAGCCACTGCCAGAAGGGACAGAGAGTTTCATCTATGCTGATGATCGTGCCATTACCGCTCAAGCAGGGAGCTTTGAGATGGTAGAACAGAAGCTCTCCAAAGCTCTAGGTGCTCTAACTGCCTATTACAGGGGAAACCAACTGATCCCTAATCCATCTAAAACACAGACATGTGCCTTTCACCTTAAGAACAGACAAGCATCCCGAGCTCTGAGGATTACCTGGGAAGGAATCCCACTGGAGCATTGCAGCGCACCCAAATACCTGGGATTCACTCTGGACCGTGCTCTGACCTACAAGAAGCACTGCCTGAACATCAAGCAAAAAGTGGGTGCTAGAAACAATATCATACGAAAGCTGACTGGCACAACCTGGGGATCACAACCAGATACAGTGAAGACATCTGCCCTTGCGCTATGCTACTCTGCTGCTGAGTACGCATGCCCAGTGTGGAACACATCTCACCACGCTAAAACAGTCGATGTGGCTCTTAATGAGACATGCCGCATTATCACGGGGTGTCTGCGCCCCACACCACTGGAGAAATTACACTGCTTAGTCGGTATTGCACCACCTGACATCCGCCGGGAAGTTGCAGCCAATAGTGAAAGGACCAAGGCAGAGACATCTCCAGCTCATCCCTTGTTTGGGTATCAGCCAGCACGTCAACGACTTAAATCCAGAAATAGTTTTCTTAGATCTACAAAGACACTCGCTGGAACACCTCAGCAAGCGAGAGTTCAAAAGTGGCAGGCTCAAACCCAGCACCTCAATCCGTGGGTGATACCAGATGAGAGACTCCCCCCTGGGCACACAGAGGACTGGGCGACTTGGAAGGCGCTGAACAGACTGCGCTCTGGCACCACGAGATGCAGAGCCAATCTTAAGAAATGGGGCTACAAAGTGGAATCCACGACATGCGAGTGTGAAGAGCAAACCACTGACCACCTGCTGCAATGCAACCTGAGCCCTGCCACATGCACAATGGAGGACCTTCTTGCGGCAACACCAGAGGCACTCCAAGTGGCCAGCTACTGGTCAAAGGACATTTAATCAACTACCAAGTTTGCAAAATTTGTGTTGTTTTTTTATCTGTTTGTTTGTTTTGTTATGTTAGAAATGTAATACAATGTTCTGGTTGCGGATGACACGATAAATAAATCCCCCCAGTGACATACAATGCTTTTTGTTCCCTATCTGTTCACATAGAGAAGACCCAAAAGGCCATTCCCTTGGTCTATGGCAGGGGTCCTCAAGCTAAGGCCCGAGGTCCGGATACGGCCCTCCAAGGTCATTTACCCGGCCCTCGCTCAGGGTCAACCTAAGTCTGAAACGACTTGAAAGCACACAACAACAACAATCCTATCTCATCAGCCAAAAGTAGGCCCACACTTCCCATTGAAATACTAATAAGTTTATATTTGTTAAAATTGTTCATTTTAATTACTGTATTGTTTTAAAATGTTTTTGAACTACACATAAGATATATGCAATGAGCATAAGAATTCATTCATGGGTTTTTCAAACTATAATCCAACCCTGCAACAGTTTGAGGGACTATGACCTGGCCCTCTGTTTATAAAGTTTGAGGACCCCTGGCCTATGGCACCCCATCCTCACCAGATGACCACCCCCTATGTTCTGCTTTCAATTTCTAAAAGGTGTTTGTTCATTCATTCAGTCGCTTCTGACTCTTTGTGACCTCATGGACCAGCCCACGCCAGAGCTCCCTGTCCGTCACCACCCCCAGCTCCTTCAAGGTCAGACCAGTCACTTCAAGGATGCCATCCATCCATCTTGCCCTTGGTCAGCCCCTCTTCCTTTTTCCACTTTCCCCAGCATAATTGTCTTCTCTAGGCTTTGCTGTCTCCTCATGATGTGGCCAAAGTACTTCATCTTTGTCTCTAGTATCCTTCCCTCCAGTGAGCAGTCGGGCTTTATTTCCTGGAGGATGGACTGGTTGGATCTTCTCGCAGTCCAAGGCACTCTCAGCACTTTCCTCCAACACCACAGTTCAAAAGCATCTCTCTTCCTTCGCTCAGCCTTCCCTAAGGTCCAGCTCTCACATCCGTAGGTGACTACGGGGAATACCATTGCTTTAACTACACGGATCTTTGTTGCCAGTATGGTGTCTCTACTCTTCACTTTTTTTTATCAAGATTGGACATTGCTCTCCTCCCAAGAAGGAAACGTCTTCTGATTTCCTGGCTGCAGTCTGCGTCTGCAATCATCTTTGCACCTAGAAATTGTGCCATCGCGCCTGGGGGCTATTATTCTTAATGAAGGAGGCCAGGGGATTGTTTCTTGCCCTCCTATAGGAAACTGGAACTATCAAAAACCCAAAACACTGTAAATAACTCAAAATAAGTTTTATTGATCACAAAGAGTTATTTCTTTAAAGCAATGAGCTGGAAACTTCAGAGGGGTGAAGGAAAATATACGTTACAGTCTCAGTTAGTCCTGGGTCCAAGGTGTTTGAAGCTGAGAAGACTCACCAAGTTTCCTCTTTCCTCAATGGCTGTGAATGCCAGAGCAAACCACAACCCCAGTTCAGATGGCCTATGTTTTGAAGACTCAGGATCTTCCTTTGGTGCCAAAAGAACCAATTTGAAGGAGCTTGAGACTTCCAACGTTGTTCAGGTTGGTCTGAACATGAAGCACAAGTCTCAAGGGTAAAAACCTCAGAACTGATGCTAAGAGGTAATTTAAATCAGGGCCTTTTAGAGTCAAGTCTCTTACTCACATCCATAGAGTAGGAACTCTGATGGCAGAATGAAAAGAAAGGAAGCACTCCCCTCCTGCAGGAAGAGGTGGAGCCAAACAGTATTGATTGACAGCTATAAGTAACCAATCCATACAACTATACATAAGCAGGGTAAAAGGTCAGGATTAAGCATGATACAAGTTTAAATCTTGCAACTAACAGTTCTACACATAGGTGGCACCACTCACGCCGTCACAGAAATACAAAGTCTTTCACGGCCTCCACGTTTTCTCCCTCTATTTGCCAGTTATCAATCACCCCGGTTGCCATAATCTTGGGTTTTTTGATGTTAGGAGAGAGGGGGCCGATCTAATATCCCTGGGGAGGGAGTTCCACAGCCGAAGGGTCACCACTGAGAAGGCCCTATCTCTCGTCCCCACCAGATGTTCCTGTGAAGAAGGCGGGATCAAGAGCAGGGCCTCCCAGATGATCTAAGATTCCTAGATGGTTCATAAAGTTGGAAGATATCCCAGGGCCACCCCCATCCAATCCTCTGCCATGCAGGAATCTATATAAATAAAAATGTAATGTTCGTTTGTGGGATTAACAGAACTCAAAAACCACTGGACAATTTGACACCAAATTTGGACACAAGACACCTAACAACCCAATGTATGTCCTTCATTTTAAAAAAATGGTTTTGTCATTTTGGAGTTGTAGTTGCTGGTATTTATAGTTCACCTACAATCAAAGAGCATTTGGAACCCCACCAATGATGGAATTAAACCAAACTTGGCACACAGTTCTCCCATGACCAACAGAAAATACTGGAAGGGTTTGGTGGGCAGTGTCCTTTGGTTTTGGAGTTGTAGTTCAGCTACCTCCAGAGAGCACTGTGGACTCAAACAATGACGGATCTGGACCAAACTCTACATAAATACTCAATATGCCCAAATGTGAACACTGGTGAAGTTTGGGGAAAATAGAATCTTCACATTTGGGAGTTGTAGTTGCTGGGATTTATAGTTCAGCTACAATCACAGAGCATTCTGAACCCCACCAACAATAGAATTGGGCCAACCCCACCCCCCACAGAACCCCCATGTGGGCCACAGCAACAAGGTTAGTACCCAATAAAAGTACTTCAAGCACATATCCACACATCTCTCCATAAAGCAGTGTATGCTTTGACTTTTTCATACCAAAGATAGCTATGCCGACTAAATCTTTGAGCACTCATGATAGATTGCCAGTTAGTCTCTTAAAATACCTCCATTGAAGACATCACCAGGCTCCCATGTAAACTGATCTGACCATCAGAGTGATTTCCCTAATGTTTAAGTAGAAACTGTTCCTGCAGTTTGAATCAATTGCAGCAAACAAGCCTATTCTAGAGTTGCAGCAAACAAGCCTATTCCTCATAGGGATTTGTGGCTTCCAGACATTTGATCAATTTGGTCGCCCTTCTATGCTGTCAATCTCCTTCTTGAATTGTGAGTTCCTGAACTARGGTTATCCAGGTGAAGTCTGACCAAAGCAGAATAAAGGGGGSCATGGCTTCCAAGGCATGRATAAGGAGCTGTAAATAAGCAGAGACWGATTTCACTATRTTTTCTGCTTCGGGTAATGCTTACCACATTATCTCTCCTTCTGGAACTGAAATGGGACCACTCAGGYATTAGGGACAGWGCGGGARGAGATTTATTTATTTATTTATTTAAAACTTTTATATCCCAATCTTCYCACCTCYSTAGAGGGACTCAGASCGGAAAGAATCTTGTGATGAATGTTTTTMATGTTTATGTATRCTTATATGAATTCTTGTCCCGGCATTGAATGTTTGCYATATATATGCTGTGCTCYGCTCTGAGTCCCCTTYGGGGTGAGAAGGGCGGAATATAAATGTTTTAAATTAAATAAAATAAAATAAATCTGAACCTTGACACTCAGAAATRAAAACATGYTTTGTCAAGGCAYATTTCAAACAYAGTTTTAYCAGCAAAACCACAAWTGTGWCATAAAAGAGTCATTATGACACACTGGATACCAAGATCAACCAGACACATGCAGYAAGTACTTTCTGGCAACTGCTCTTTATTTTTAGTAAGACCCCATTTCTAGTTGGATTGTGATTACATGAAATAGTGGATACAMCCAAATGYCATTAGAACCACTTTTGTCACACTTGTATTATGGCCCGCATATAACATTCGTTCTTCTCTCCTCTTAATTTCCTCCATAATCAAGTTCACTTTCTCTCATTTTGTCTTTTAAAGTTTTACCTTCTGCGTTTCACTTTTATGGGGATCCTGTGCCTCTAAACAGCAAATGTGGAAGGATAACAGAACATTATTTATTGTTTTGAAAAGCTGAATGCTAAAAAGAAAAAGAAAAGAAAAAAAAAAGAAAAAGGAAGCTCTTGTGTAACACCCACTTGTCTAGACTTTGAAACTGTGTACCCTGAATTATAAAATAATTATTTCTCAGCAGACATCTAGTCTTCCATTTCAACCTGAAGCTAGGGGAGCACCTTAAGGAAGGAGGGCCCCCAATTCCCTCCCACAATGTAGTGGACTATGGACTATAGAGTATACATTATCTCAAAATCCTTCACAAATACTGTTTCATCAGTGCACCTTTTAGACCACAGTTCTCCCCACTCATGGAAGACAGAGACATTATGAAGGTCCTATGGGTTTTCTGGTGTCTATTCAGAGATATCATCAAGAGAAGCCTCTTCCACATACAAGACTCTATAGGGTTTCTTTCCAGTATGTGTTCTCTGGTGGACAATCAAATTTGAGCTCTGTTGAAAGCATTTGCCACACTGAGAACATTCAAAAGGTTTCTCTCCAGTATGAATTCTTTGATGGTCCTTTAAGGTAGAACTCCGAGTGAAACACTTCCCACACTGAGAGCATTCAAAGGGTTTCTCTCCAGTATGGATTCTTTGATGGTCCTTCAAGCTAGAACTTCGAGTGAAACACTTGCCACACTGAGAGCATTTATAGGGTTTCTCTCCAGTATGGATTACCTGGTGTCTTACCAGTGTACCTTTCTCGCCGAAGCATTTCTCACACTGAGAACATTGGTATACCTTTTGTCGAGTGTGACTTTGCTGGTGGCTTGTCAGGTGTGTTCTAGATTTGAAACCATTATCACTAGTAGCACATTTATACAGTTTCTTTCCTGTAGGAACATCTTGGTATTTCTGTAAAGACTGCTCACAGCTCTTACTTCTTTCTCCATCTTCAGGACATTCAGTATCTTTCTTTCTTGAGTTCGGATCAGCAAACTCATCTGACATATTGTGGTATTTCCTCCCATACTTGGAGAACATGGGCTTCCCCATGTCCGTGGAGGCCTTGTTATCACCACCTATAAGGCTTTTGGTGTGTTTTCTCTCTGTCTCCATTAACTTCTTCGACTCTTGATCTCTCATCTTATGAATGTTGGATGTCATAGGCAAATTCCACTGAGATGCTTCTGCTGGTGATGACTCTACCTGTGAAGATGTCTTCATCTCCTTCCAACATCCCTTTTCATCACCTGAAGAGAAAGAGGACATTGGTTACTTTTCTGGCATCCACTTTCCTACTTTGAACCACCTGGCCTTCTCTCCTGCCATCTCTTGTTTACCATCAGATTCAAAATGTCTTTGTTCACTTATGTTTATGTGTATGTATGCGTATTGACACCATCACTCTCAGTGTACATCTGAGCTGTCTGCATTAAGCCTGGCATTACTAAATGAAAGGCAGCCGTGGCTGATTTATACGCAAACCGCTTCAAGCAATCATCTGAAGAGTTACTCGGGGCACTGAAGACACGGCCCTCCCTTCCCATTCCCTTCCACATCATATCTCAGTTAAAAAGAGACAATCTTCGACCTCAAAAGTCAAGAGACTTCCAAGAGCATCCAAAGATGCCCCAAATAATATGACTGAAAAATAAAAAAACAACCACAATGATGGTTTAATTTAATACAGATCTATCTGCACATATGCAAGTCTTACAAAAGTCAATGTGTATTCAGTTCCATGACATATGTTATTGTTTCTGGTCAAAGCCAGCCACCCCTTCAGAAGATGAAAATGACACAATTCATCATTGTCATGGGCTCGAAAGTTGAGGCCTAGTAATGGCATGTAACAAATCCAGAACCAGAACCATACTGGCTATCTTGCTGCTTCTCAAAGATTTTTTTAATCAGGGTGATAAAATTAGCATCTATAATAACAGAATATAGTGACAGTAACAGTCACCTTTGAGAGTGATGATGTATTCTCTTCAAAGACTGCTCTACCCTTGAAAAATATCTGTTGAAGGAGGGATCAAAATATTAATGTTCTTCTATAGACACCAGGGCAGTAAATCAGGAAAATTGTCTAACTGAAACTCTCTGTTTTTCCTTCTACTTCTAATTATTGATACTTCAATCCCTTTTATGCCACTTCGTGATTTCTGTTGTTGTTGTTGTTATTATAATAATTATTATTATTCTCAACTAGTAACTCCTCTCTTTACACCCACAGCTGTATTTTTCACTTTTGCTTTGAGAAAATGTGTTTTTCTGTTTTTGTTTCAGCCCCTAAAACAGTGTTTCTCAACCTTCCCAATTCCGTGACCCCATAATACAGTTCCTCATATTGTGAGTACCCCCAACCAAAAAAATATTTTAGTTTGTACTTTATAACTGTAATTTTGCTACTGTTATGAATCATGATGTAAATATCTGAGAAGCAGAATGTATTTTCATTCACTGGACCAAATTTGGCACAAATACTCGATATACCCAAATTTGAATCCTGGTGGGATTGGTGGGGATTGATTTTGTCATTTGGGAGTTGTAGTTGCTGGGATTTATAGTAAACATACAATCAAAGAGCATTCTGAACTCCACCAAGGATGGAATTAAACAAAATGTGGCACAAAGAACTCCCATGACCAACAGAAAATCTGGATTTTGTGGGCATTGGCCTGAGTTTTGGAGTTGTAGTTCATCTACATCCAGAGAGAACTGGGGAATCAAACAATGATGGATTTGGACCAAACTTGGCACAAATACTCAATATGCCCAAATGTGAACACTGGTGGAGAAAAATAGACTTGACATTTGGGAGTTGTAGTTGCTGAGATTTATAGTTCATCTACAATCAGAGAGCCCTTTGAACCCCACCAATGATATAATTGAGCCAAACTTCCGACACAGAACTCCCATGCCTTGAAGGGACTCGCTTGTACAAGCCTCCCTACAGCTCTGCACGCTCTCCCTCACCAGCACATGTGCATCACATTGCCATTTATTTATTTATTTATTTCGTGTACTTCTACCCCGCCCTTCTCAACCCCCGTGGGGGGACTCAGGGCGGCTTACAAAAAGGCACAATTCGATGCCTGCACAATAATACAGATAAGCGTATAAAAACAGCACTTAAAATAGTTGTAACTATTAAAAACAATCAATATATATCACAGTCAGTAAACCAATCTCAAGATCCGCGTTCGACAATATTTCATTCTACATTGTCTATTGCCATGCGCCAAACATGTCTGCTCTACTCTCCCCTCCCCGCTTGGAGTCTCAGAAACAGCCCTCCCCTTGGCTGAGAGGCTGGCCAATCACAGCGGAGGAGGGCTTTTGGTGGATTTGCCATCTGTTTCCAAAAAGGAAGAGAAGGACAGGTGGAGAGATCTTCATCCTTCTCTGCCAAAGGGGTTCCCAAGACCTGATGGTTTTTGGCAACCCCAACTTGAGAAAAGGAAGAAAATTAAAGCGAAAGAGAGCAAACTTTGCTTCCTTCACCGGTGGCTACTCAGTTTTTTTTACATAATTATTCTATAATCAGGACATGCAGACATCTCCCCCCCCCCCCACCATGTGAGTATAAATTTAATTTTAAAAAATATGTTTCTCGCATGAAGTTTATCTTCAATACAATGTCTCTAGTAGTTTAATGAATGTGATCTCAGAAAAAGGTTTCCCCAACATTTAGGACACCTAGGTTTCCCTTTAATAGGAATTCTCCATTGTATAAGAATGGACCGCATCTCCATATATGAACCCACACGTTCCCTTCGATCATCTGGAGAGGCCCTGCTCACGATCCCACCTGCGTCGCAAGCACGTTTGGTGGGGACGAGGGACAGGGCCTTCTCTGTGGTGGCCCCCCGACTCTGGAACTCTCTCCCCAAGGACATCAGACAAGCCCCAACGTTGGCAATCTTTAGGAAGAGCCTGAAGACCTGGCTGTTCCAGTGTGCCTTTCCAGAATAGGAAACTCCTGGCATCATGTCCCAAATGCACTTTGTTAGAGACTAGGATTGTCTGCACATTGCACCTACCTCCAAAAAACCTCTACATACCTCCTGTCAAGTTCAGCACTTTTAAATTTTGTACATTACATTTGGCCCGGCCTTTAGGTTTTAAATGCATCACGTGTCATTGTTTTTAGTGTTTTATTGTTTTTGCTTGATGTTTTATCATTTGCTTATGAGTTTTGCTGTTATATTTGTATGTTGTTGTTTGTTGCGGCCTTGGCCTTTGCAAGCCGCATCAAGTCCTTCAGGAGATTTTGCGGGGTATAATTTATTTATTTATTTATTTCACAGTTTTCTATACCGAGCTTCTCAACCTCATTGAGGGACTCAGCCCGGTTTCCAGCCATAAAAACATATACACTCATTAAAATATCACATATCACAATTACAAAAACAACTTTAAAAACACTATATATAAAACTACAGTGGTCAGTCGTCCTATTAAGATGGATCTACATCAACTTCCATCCAGGGTCCTATGGTGTTGTCTCATTCATCGAAGGCCTGACTCCACAGCCACGTCTTCACCCGTTTCCTAAATGTTAGGATGGATGGGGCGGTTCTGGCCTCCAGAGGGAGAGAGTTCCAGAGTCGCGGGGCCACCACCGAGAAGGCCCTGTCCCTCGTCCCCACCAGGCGCGCTTGTGAGGCCGGTGGGACCGAGAGCAGGGCCTCTCCAGATGATCTTAATAATCTTGATGGTTCATAGGGGAGAATACGTTCGGAGAGGTAAACAGGGCTGGAGTCATTTAGGGCTTTATAGGTTAACACCAGCACTTTGAATTGTGCTCGGAAGCTAATTGGCAGCCAGTGGAGCTGGCGTAACAGCGGAGTGGTGTGCTCCCTGTACCCAGCCCCCGTTAGTAATCTGGCTGCCGCGTTGGACTTGCTGCAGCTTCCGGGCAGTCTTCAAAGGCAACCCCACGTAGAGAGCGTTGCAGTAGTCTAAGCGGGATGTAACCAAAGCGTGTACTACCGTGGCCAAGTCAGCCCTCCCAAGGTACGGACGCAGCTGGCGCACAAGCTATAAATAAAGTTAATAATAATAATAATAATAATAATAATAATAATTTTCATTTTTCCGCCTCGAGTTGCCTGAGCGCTGAGAGGGGCGGTATACAAATATAGTAAATAAATAAATAAATAAAATTTCCTGCATTTACTTCTTGAATACAGTTTTCCTTGCACATGTCTACAATTTTCTTCTTTTTATGCATCCTGTGTGTAATTGGCCTCAATTTCATAAAGTGACAGGTTATGGGTATGAGCTGTCCTTACCGAATGGCTGGGCATTTCCACCCTCCTCCTGTAGGACTTGCCAGAAGATGGTCTCTTGGTCTGACTGGCATGGTGTCTGCTCAACCCTCTGCAAAGAGACGCCTGTGTTTTTCCAGTCCAGCAGACCCTGTAAATGTAAAACATGCCCATCAATCAGGCCCTCCTGCACACGCAACAGAACTGACATAGAGACTGATCTGCTTGTGCTTCCGAGGCATTAACTCTACAGTGTAGATGCATCCTTAAATAGGCTAATGCTCCTCTTGCATGTTCTATCTAGAGCAGTGGTTCTCAACCTTCCTAATGCCGTGACTCCTTAATACAGTCCTTCATGTTGTGGTGACCCCCAACCATAATATTGTTTTTGTTGCTACTTCATAACAGTCATTTTACTACTGTTATAAATCATAATGTAAATATCTGATATGCAGGATGCATTTTCATTCACTGGGCACAAATACCCAATACACCCAAATGTGAATGCTAGTGGGGTTGGGGGAGTATTGATTTTGTAAGTTGTAGTTGCTGGGATTTATAGTTCACTTATAATCAAAGAGCATTCTGAACTCCACCAGTGATGGATTTGAACCAAACTTGGCTCCCATGACCAATGGAAAACACTGGAGGGGTTTGATGGGCATTGACCTTGAGTTTGGGAGTTGTAGTTCACCTATATCCAGAGAGCACTGTGGACTCATGCCATGGTGGATCTGGACCAAACTTGGCATGAATACTCAATATGCCCAAATGTGAATATTGGTGGAATCTGGGGAAAATAGATCTTGACATTTGGGAGTTGTAGTTGCTGGGATTTATAGTTCATTACAATCAAAGAACATTCTGAACTCACCAACGATAGAATTGGCTCAAACTTCCCACATGGAATCCCCATGAGCTACAGAAAATACTGTGTTTTCTTATGGTCTTTGGCGACCCCTCTGACACCCCCTCGCGACCCCCTCAGGGGTCCCGACCCCCAGGTTGAGAAACACTGATCTAGAGCTATGAACTGACAGAGTGAACTTTTGCAGTCTGTGTTTCGGTTCTAGAAAGTAGCATTTGGGATTCAGCAGAACAGTTAAATGAAATGTGAACTCTTCAGCTATTATTATTATTATTTTATTATTTATTGTTCTTATACCCCGCTACCATCTCCCGCAGGACTCGGTGCGGCTTACAAGAGGCCAAGCCCAACAACATCATAAAACAACAACAACAAAACAGTAAATAACTCATAAAAAGTAAAAACAATACAATAATAACACAACACATTTTAAAAACATGAGGCGGGCCAAATGTAAAAGTTTTAAAAGTTAAAAGCTGGGAAGTTTAAAGGGGATAGGAGGAATGTTCTGGGAAAGGTGGATGTGCAGACAGTACTAGATCTTTCATAAAGTGCATTGAGGACATATTGCTTAGGATTCCTAATTCTGGGAAGGCACACCGGAACATCCAGGTTTTCAAGCCAATGTTGGGGCCTGCCTAATGTCTTTGGGGAGGGAGTTCCAGAGTCGCGGGGCCACCACTGAGAAGGCCCTGTCCCTCGTTCCCACCAATCGCGCTTGTGAAGCAGGTGGGATCGTGAGCAGGGCCTCACCAGATGAACGAAGAGATCGTGTGGGTTCGTATACAGAAATGCGGTCACGAAGGTAGATGGGTCCCTTAGAAGGTATCCTTATAAGGTGAAGGAATCAAATACTAGTAGATACTAAGGATATAGTTTTGTGTGGTTTCACCAAAACAGAATAGAATGGGATCATGACTTCCCTTAAACTGGACACTATTCCTATGGATGTAGCCTAGAATTGCATTGGCCATTTTAGCTGCCACATCACACAACTGGCTCATGTTCACCTTGTGGACTATAAGACTCTTAGATGATCCTTTACTGTTATTATTAGACAGTATTATTGTTATTGCAGACCAATACTTTGGATATGGACGGAACTAAATGAGATTACATACCTCATCCAGCCCAGCTTCTGTCTTAACTTGTCCTTCAGCAGGAAACACTGAAATGGAAGGACTTGGGTCTCCGATTCCAACACCTGCAAAGAATAAATGGAAATTCCTCTTTTTAGAAGGAGAATAGGTTGGATAGAGTCAAAAACAGATGCTGAACAAGTGCAACCTACTCTCCTCCCCATCTATTCAAAAAACATAGTAGTTTTACAAGGTCATTAGCCTTATCTGCCAAAGAGAGCTAATGCCACCCTAAGTTACAGCTCCCATGATCCCATAGTCATGGGGTCACCAGATGGGAGTCGTCGTCCCCAGCAACAATATAGTAATGTATAATATTTACATCATGCAGTGCTAATAATATAATATATTGTATATACATAAAATATTGATAATATTATTATGTAATACAATTTGTTGTTCATTTGTTCAGTCGTTTCTGACTCTTTGACCTCATGTCCCAGCCCACACCAGAGCTCCCTGTCGGCCGTCACCACCCCCAGCTCCTTCTAGGATGCCATCCATCCATCTCGCCCTTGGTCGGCCCCTCTTCCTTTTTCCTTTCATTTTCCCCACCATCATTGTCTTCTCTAAGCTTTCCTTTCTTCTCATGATATGGCCAAAGTACTTCATCTTGGCCTCTAATGCCCTTCCCTCCAGTGAGCAGTCGGGCTTTATTTCCTGAAGTATGGACTGGTTGGATCTTCTCGCAGTCCGAGGCACTCTCAGAACTTTCCTCCAACACCACAGTTCAAAAGCATATCTCTTCCTTCGCTCAGCCTTTCTTATGGTCCAGCTCTCACATCCGTAGGTGACTACAGGGAATACCATTGCTTTGACTATGCGGATCTTCATTGCCAGTGTGATGTCTCCACTCTTCACTATTTTATTGAGATTGGACATTGCTCTCCTCCCAAGAAGTAAGTGTCTCCTGATTTCCTGGCTCAGTCTGCGTCTGCAATAATCTTTGCACCTAGAAATACAAAGTCTGTCACTGCCTCCACGTTTTCTCCCCTGTTTCCCAGTTATCAATCATTCTTGTTGCCATAATCTTGGTTTCTTTGATGTTTAGCTGCAACCCAGCTTTTGCGCTTTCTTCTTTCACCTTGATTAGAAGGCTCCTCGGCTCCTCCTCACTTTCGGCCATCAAAGTGGTATCATCTGCATATCTAAGGTTGGTAATGTTTCTATGTAATACAATATAATACTACTAATAATACAATATAATAATATAATACAATACAATAATTACTAATGATATTGACGTATACTGGTATAGTACAATGTAGTAATATATCATGCTAATATTGTGCTATGCTAATAATATAATATATTGTATGTACATATAACTTGTAAGCCGCTCTGAGTCCCCTTCGGGGTGAGAGAAGGCGGGACGTAAATGTCACAAATAAATAAATAAATAAAGAGTACTGAGTTCTACAGCGTAGGTGTAGCCTTTGTGTGGCACGTTCATTCTCACAGACCCATGAAGCTTTACCTAGCAGAGGGATCTCGGCATCCTTCACCGGCTTGGCTTCCTCATAGATCTGTTCCTGAGCAGCATCTGGCGACTTCCCTTCCACCTTTAGGGAACCAACATCCTGCGACGGTTCCTGAGAAACAGGAAAGTATATTTCGGAAATGAAGAGAAGGAAAAGGAATTCTCTCAGCTTAGTGTTTTGTTTTAGATTAAGTTTTTGTTAGACATAGGTAGAAAAATATTATAGAGTTGGGAGAGACCATAAGGGTCATCTATTCCACTACTTATTAAACTGTGGGTTCAGACTCCAAAAGTGGTCCCTTTCACTCAATGATGAGGGTCACAAAAAATGGCAACAAAAGAAGTTTTCTGAATGCCACCAAGTGGCTCTTTTAGACATTTACCCGAATCTGTTTGCAGGGCTTCCAATGGATTCTGCAAAGATGTACTTAATACAAAGGAAAATCAGCCTGTTGACAAGCCTTGCAAACGCTGATTTATCAGTTAATATTTTATATATACCTGGGATATATTTTATATACCTATATACCCACATGATGTAGACATTTGTCAGACAGAAAAGAATCATGGGTGCAAAAGTCTAATCCAAACCCTATTCAGTCATGTAAGAGAATACAATCACAGTTCTCTCAACAGATGGCCAGCCAGCCTCTTCTTCAATAACCGCTGGAGACTCACCTGCCACATGGCGGAATCAACCTCTTGCTGTCTCTCAAGAAGGAAGTCCTCTGCCAGGGCCACAGCCTGGGAACACGTCTCTGGCCCTGCGCCTCGGACCCATCCTTGCAGGTCTTCGGGAAGACTGGCCAGGAATTGCTCCAGGACCAGCAGCTCCAGGATCTGCTCCTTGCTGCGTCTCTCCGGCTTCAGCCACCGACTGCAAAGCTCCTGGACGTGGCTGTAAATCCTTCGCGGATCCTCCACCTCTTCGCAGCAGAACTGCCGAAAATGCTGGCGTTGCAGCTCAGCTCTCAGGGCCTCCGCTCTCAAGATGGCTGCCTTCACTTTCCCATAATCTTCCCTGTCTCTGGCTTCCAGGCTCCGAAAGGCCTGCTCTGCTTCTCCGCTCAATGCGGGCAACAGCCAGGCTGCCCACTCTTCCTTTGGCCAATGACAGGCTTTGGCCACTTCCTCAAAGGAGGCCAGGAACGCTTTGGCGTCTTCCCACGGCATTTCCTCTGCCGGTGAAAGGCTTCCCCATGCCGAGGAAGGCGAATGGAGGGTCTTCGGGAACGCCTGCCATTGGGCTTCCCAGTGCTGCTGCATCCTTTGACCAGGAAGATCCTTGTCTTTTTCCGGCGCTTTCCATGTTGGCTCTTCGGTCACATATTCGGACTGAACCCTGATTCCGGCATTCCCTGCTTCTCTTGCCGTTCCTTGTTCCAGCTGCAGACTTGCAGGGTTCGGCTCCTCCATCCCCTTCCTCAGTAGCGTTGCTTCCAGGGAAATACCTTGAACAAGTTAACCGGCCTTGCTCTGAATGTGCAGGAGCAAAGGACTCCTGTTCTTTCCTTAACCAATGGAAAGACCCAAAGAAGGCAATTCCAGCAGTGTGGAGACTTATTCCAGAATTGAACAGGGAGATTCTTCCTGAATTAAAAAGAATTATAATGCAGAGAGGGAACACAATAAACATTCAGTTTGGATTGAATCTCTATCCAAAAATGTATTCCTTTGCCTTCTCAAAGAATGGGATAACTCAATTTCTCACAGAATTCTAGAGTTACTAGAGCAGTGTTTCTCAACCTGGGGGTCGGGACCCCGCGAGGGGGTGTCAGAGGGGTCACCAAAGACCATCAGAAAACATAGTATTTTCTGTTGGTCATGGGGGTTCTGTGTGGGAAGTTTGGTCCAATTCTATCATTGGTGGGATTCAGAATGCTATTTCATTGTAGGTGAACTATAAATCCCAACAATTACACCTCCCAAATGTCAAGGTTTATTTTCCCCAACCTCCACCAATGTTCACATTTGGGCATATTGAGTATTTGTGCCAAGTTTGGTCCAGATCCACCATTGTTTGAGTCCACAGTGCTCTCTGGGTGTAGGTGAACTACAACTCCAAAAACCCAACATCAATGTCCACCAGACCCTCCCAGTATCTTCTCTTGGTCATGGGAATTCTGTGTGCCAAGTTTGATTCAATTCCATCATTGGTGGAGTTCAGAATGCTCTTTGATTGTAGGTGAACTATAAATCCCAGCAACTCCAACATTCCCAGATGACAAAATCAATCACCCCCATCCCACCCGTATTCAAATTTGGGCATATCGGGTATTTGGGATTTGAAAATACATCCTGCATATCAGATATTTACATTATGATTCATAACAGTACCAAAATTACAGTTATGAAGTAGCAACAAATATAATGTTATGTTTGGGGGTCACCACAACATGAGGAACTGTATTAAGGGGTCACAGCATTAGGAAGGTTGAGAAACACTGTACTAGAGACTCCAAGGGCCATCCAGTCCAATCCCATTCTGCCAAGGAAAAGTCCCGCTCTCTATGTCAGTTTCTATGTATTTTCTAAGATGGTTCCCACATCCAGAGCCTTGTGATTCTTGCCAACAACGCATCTGAGCCAAACATGGGACACAGACCCCCCCCCCTCCCAACTTTAAAGACTGGTGAGTTTTGGGTAGGAGGGTAATTACAGTGGATGGTGGGAGTTGTAGTTCACCCACATCCAGAGACCACTATGAACTCCACTGACGATGTATCTGGACCCAACGTGGCACATAGCTCCCCCTCCCCAATGATCCACAGAAAGTCCTGGAGGGGTTGGAGTTAGAGAATGGATCTGAACCAAACTTGGCACCCAGACCAACCATGACCAACTTTAACTCCTGGTGCAGTTCGGAGGCAATGACAGATGGTGATGGGAATTCTAGTCTACCCACATCCTTATGTGTTTTCTAATAAAGAGAACTGCAAAACAAATACAAAATACTCTTATGTTTGTCATTACAAAAGACCTAACCTGGTATCGTTGGGCACCTGAGCAAATCTATATAAATAAAAATGTAATGTTCGTTTGTGGGATTAACAGAACTCAAAAACCACCGGACGAATTGACACCAAATTTGGACACAAGACACCTAACAACCCAATGTATGTCCTTCACTCAAAAAAAATATGATTGTGTCATTTGGGAGTTGTAGTTGCTGGGATTTATAGTTAACTTACAATCAAAGAGCATTCTGAACCCCACCAACGACGGAATGGAACCAAACTTGGCACACCGTTCTCCCATGACCAACAGAAAATACTGGAAGGGTTTGGTGGGCAGTGTCCTTTGGTTTTGGAGTTGTAGTTCACCTACATCCAGAGATCACTGTGGATTCAAACAATGATGGATCTGGACCAAACTCTACATGAATACTCAATATGCCCAAATGTGAACACTGGTGGAGTTTGGGGAAAACAGAATCTTGATCTTTGGGAGTTGTAGTTGCTGGGGTTTATAGTTCACCCACAATCACAGAGCATTCTGAACCCCACCAATGATTGAACTGGGCCAAACCTCCCACACAGAACCCCCAATGTTCTGCCACGTAGGGGTTGCTTTTATGATACTGTGTTGTGTTTATTTTGGATGGATTGGATGACTTTTAATGTGGCGAACTGTTTTAATGTATATTGATATTTATTTTTTAGGCATTTGATTGTATTTTATTGTTTCGACATCGAATTGTTTCCTGTTGGTAGCTGTCCTGAGTCCCTCCTTGGAGGTCAAGAAAGGACGGGGTATAAATGTTCCAAATAGTAAATAAATATATATTTCTGATATTTTGTTTTTTGATTTTACTTTATTGCACTGTGTTTTAATCTGTGTTTTTTCGGGGTTGTCACTTTGTAAGCCACCCAAAGTGGAATCCACGACATGCAAGTGTGGAGAAGAGCAAACCACTGCAATGCAACCTGAGCCCTGCAACATGCACAATGGAGGACCTCCTTGCGGCAACACCAGAGGCACTCCAAGTGGCCAGATACTGGTCAAAGGACATTTAATCAACCACCAAGCTTGCAAACTTCGTGTTTTGTCTGTTTGTTTTGTTAAAAATGTATTACAACTGTCTGGTTGCTCCTGACACAATAAATAAATAAATAAATAAATATCACTCCATCCAGTGTGCCAATCACCACTGGAACCACCTTATCTGGCTTGTGCCAGAATCCTTGCAGTTCGATCTTTATTATTATTATTGGATTGTTGTAGGTTTTTCCGACTTCTCTGGTTGAAGTAGTCTGCAGTGGCTTTCATGAACTGAACCACCTCAACTGGGCTCTACAGGCCAATGGATACATCAGAAGAGCTGCAAGACCAAAAACAAGCCACGAGAGTCAAGATGAAGATCCACCCAGAGGAAAAGTGTTCTTGCCATACATCAAGGGAACCACTGACCGCATAGGGAAGCTGATGAGGAAACACAACATACAAACCACCTACAGACCCACCAAGAAAATCCAACAAATGCTACGTTCAGCAAAGGACAAGAGGGATCCTCTCACCTCTGCAGGAGTTTACCATATACCATGCAGCTGTGGACAAGTCTACATAGGGACCACCAAACGCAGCAGCATTGCCCAGACACGAATCAAGGAACATGAAAGGCACTGCAGACTAACACAACCAGAGAAGTCAGCCATAGCAGAGCACCTGATGAACCAGCCTGGACACAGCATATTATTTGAGAACACAGAAATGCTGGACCACTCTCACAACCACCATGTCAGACTACACAGAGAAGCCACTGAAATCCACAAGCACGTGGACAATTTCAACAGAAAGGAAGAAACCATGAAAATAAACAAAATCTGGCTTCATTTGTTCAGTCATCTCTGACTCTTCGTGACCTCATGGACCAGCCCACGCCAGAGCTCTCTGTCGGCTGTCACCACCCCCAGCTCCTTCAGAGTCAAGCTAAAGCCAGCACTTTGAATTGTGCCATTGAAATCCACAAGCATTTGGACAATTTCAACAGAAAGAAAGAAACCATGAAAATGAACAAAATCTGGCTACCAGTATTAAAAAACTCAAAAATTACAACAGCAAAACAGCAGAGAGGAAACAACCAGGCACATCTTAACACCTCTCTACAAAAGACTCCCCCAGGCTCAGCCAGGCCTTTCAATGCTAATGAAGGTGGTCAGTTAAAACATTCACACCTACCTCCAGCAGACAAGAGCTCTTTGCCCCACCCCGGTCATTCCACAGATATATAAACCCATTTTCCTATTTCCAACAGACCTCACTACCTCTGAGGATGCTTGCCATAGATGCAGGCGAAATGTCAGGAGAAAATGCCTCTAGAACATGGCCACATAGCCTGAAAAAACCCACAAGAACCTTATTATCACTCCATCCAGTGTGCCAATCACCACTGGGACCACCTTGACTGGCTTAGAATCATAGAATCAAAGAGTTGGAAGAGACCTCATGAGCCATCCAGTCCAACCCCCTGCCAAGAAGCAGGAATATTGCATTCAAACCACCTCTGACAGATGGCCATCCAGCCTCTGTTTAAAAGCTTCCAAAGAAGGAGCCTCCACCACACTCCGGGGCAGAGAGTTCCACTGCTGAACGGCTCTCACAGTCAGGAAGTTCTTCCTCTTGTTCAGATGGAATCTCCTCTCTTGTAGTTTGAAGCCATTGTTTCGCGTCCTAGTCTCCAGGGAAGCAGAAAACAAGCTTGCTCCCTCCTCCCTGTGGCTTCCTCTCACATATTTATACATGGCTATCATATCTCCCTCTCAGCCTTCTCTTCTTCAGGCTAAACATGCCCAGCTCCTTAAGCCGCTCCTCATAGGGCTTGTTCTCCAGACCTTTTATCATTTTAGTCGCTCCCCTCTGGACACATTCCAGGCTTGTGCCAGAGTCTTTGCAGTTTGATCTTTATTATTATTATTATTATTATTATTATTATTATTATTGTTATTATTATTATTAGCATTTCTGCAATTAGTGGATACCTGTCTCTTTAGTTCCAAACCCCTTTTTCTTTTCAGAAGCCAGGAAAAGGGCATTTCCCTCTCCCCCACCAAGGTTGTTTTGGTCCCCCACTTGCAGCACCGTGGCCCCAGGCGAGGGGAACTTGGGAGTTGTAGTTTCCCAAGGCCTTGAGCCTCCCCTGCCAAAGTGGGTCAGCTGCAGCCCCCAGGGTCCCATAGCATGCAGCCAAGGCGGTGAAAGGGCTGCCAAAGTGTGTTCCATCCACGGTGGAAAGAAAGAAATAAGGAAATAGGGAAGGAGGGAGGAAGGAAGCCTGCTGGGAGTAGTAGTCTTCCTTCTCCACCCCCCAAGTGGGGCCAGGAAGTGGGGGTAGGCTGCCTGCCATTGCTTCCCTCCTCGGGCTGCCCTTCCCCTCCACCTCCTCGCCTCAGACTCACCCGGAAGGAAGGAAGGAAGCCTCCCACCGCCCAACTTAGCAGCTCAGGAGGAAGAAACTCTGCCGGAAAGAAACAAACCGCGGGAAAGAGGAGGAAGTTTACCCAGGCAGCGCCGCCCCCTCCCTTCCGCCGAGCGCACAGTGCGCTGCTGCCCCCTGTGGCCACCTGTAGCATTGCAGCCCCTTCCAGATTGAGAGAGAGAGAAAGAGATTTTCCTGGGAATAATATAATATAATATAATAATATATTCCAGTAACATTACTAGGAAGGAAAGACAAGCCATCAGAGAACTGAATTCAGACCCTGATATCCTCATTATGCCAGCAGACAAGGGGAATGCCACAGTAATCATGCATACAGAACAATACAAGGAGAAGATCAGAAAACTCCTGGACCCTACTATATACAAAAAACTCAAGCAAGACCCAACTGCCAAAATAACCAGGAAAACCAACACCCTGATTAAGAACTCCTCCATAAACTTTGACATACGACAACAGCTATGTAAATCGGAAGCCCATCCACCCAGGCTTTATGGACTCCCAAAAATCCATAAGGACTCCACCCCACTCAGACCCATCGTGAGTGCCATTGGATCCCCCACATACAACCTAGCAAAATTTCTTGCTGCACAGTTACAAAGCCATATTGGGCTCACTACACACTACATCAAGGACTCAGCCCACTTCATAGAAAAAAATCAGCAATCTCAAGCTAAATACCAACGACAAACTGATCAGCTTCGATGTGGTATCTCTATTTACCATGGTCCCGGTAGCAGACACCATGGCACTCATCAACCAGAGGTTCCCAGAAGACATCACGGCTCTGTTTCACCATTGCCTCACCACCAGTTACTTTCAGTGGGACAATGAATTCTACGAACAGAAAGATGGAGTAGCTATGGGGAGCCCTCTCAGCCTGGTCATAGCTAACTTCTACATGGAACACTTTGAAGAACAAGCCCTGGAGACAGCAACCAAAAAGCCCACGATATGGTTCAGATATGTGGATGACACCTTCACCATTTGGAGCCATGGAGAAGAAGAACTCAACAGGTTCCTGGACCATCTTAACAGCATCCACCCAAACATCCAGTTCACAATGGAAAAAGAAAATGAAGGAAGACTGCCTTTTCTAGATGTCCTAGTCATCCGCAAACCAGATCAACAATTGGGTCACACCGTTTACAGAAAACCCACACACACAGATAGATATCTACATAAAAACTCCAACCATCACCCAAGTCAAAAAAGAAGCACCATTAAAGCCTTGGCAGACCGTGCAAAAAGAATCTGCGAACCCCACCTCCTCCAAGATGAACTGAACCACCTCAACTGGGCTCTCCAGGCCAATGGAGACTCCACCTCAGACATCAGAAGAGCTGCAAGACCAAGAACAAGCCATGAGAGTCAAGACAAAGATCCACCCAGAGGAAAAGTGTTCCTGCCATACATCAAGGGAACCACTGACCGCAGAGGGAAGCTGATGAGGAAACACAACATACAAACTATCTACAGACCCACCAAGAAAATCCAACAAATGCTACGTTCAGCAAAGGACAAGAGGGATCCACTCACCTCTGCGGGAGTCTACTGTATACCATGCAGCTGTGGACAAGTCTACATAGGGACCACCAAACACAGCAGCATTGCCCAAACATGCATCAAGGAACATGAAAGGCACTGCAGACTACTTCAACCAGAGAAGTCAGCCATAGCAGAGCACCTGATGAACCAGCCTGGACACAGCATATTATTTGAGAACAGAAATGCTGGACCACTCCAACAACCACCATGTCAGACTACACAGAGAAGCCATTGAAATCCACAAGCATGTGGACAATTTCAACAGAAAGGAGGAGACCATGAAAATGAACAAAATCTGGCTACCAGTATTAAAAAGCTCTAAAATTGCAACAGCAATACAGCAGAGAGGAAACAACCAGGCACATCTTAACACCTCTCAAATGCTAATGAAGCAAATGCTAATGAAGGTGGTCAGCTGAAACATTCACACCTAGCTTCAGCAGAGACCTCTTTGCCTCACCCCAGTCATTCCACAGAAACCCATTTTCCTATTTCCAACAGACCTCACTACTTCTGAGGATGCTTGCCATAGATGCAGGCGAAACGTCAGGAGAAATGCCTCTAGAACATGGCCCTATAGCCCGAAAAAACCTACAAGAACCTAGTGATTCCAGCCATGAAAGCATGAAAGACAATAGAAAGAGATTTTCCTGGGAATGCATAGCACTAAAACTGCAAGGAAGACTCCAGCAATACACGGAGAGAGAGTTGCCAGGTGTGCAAGCTGGGTTTAGAAAAGCCAGAGGAAGGAGAGACCACATGAGCCAACAATGTGATGTGGCGGCAAAAAAAGGAAAGGGGATTTTGGCCTGCATCAATAGGAGCATAGTGTCTAGATCTGGGGATGCTACCCATGCTCTATTCCGCTTTGGTTAGACCACACCTGGAATATTGTGTCCAATTCTGGGCACCACAATTCAAGAGAGATATTGACAAGCTGGAATGTGTCCAGAGGAGGGCGACTAAAACGATCAAGGGTCTGGAGAAATAGCCCTATGAGGACCGGCTTAAGGAGCTGGGCATGTTTAGCCTGAAGAAGAGAAGGCTGAGAGGGAATATTGTGTCCAATTCTGGGCACCACAATTGAAGAGAGATATTGACAAGCTGGAATGTGTCCAGAGGAGGGCGACTAAAACGATCAAGGGTCTGGAGAACAAGCCCTATGAGGAGCAGCTTAAGGAGCTGGGCATGTGTAGCCTGAAGAAGAGAAGGCTGAGAGGGAATATTGTGTCCAATTCTGGGCACCACAATTGAAGAGCGATATTGACAAGCTGGAATGTGTCCAGAGGAGGGCGACTAAAATGATCAAGAGTCTGGAGAAAAAGCCCTATGAGGAGCGGCTTAAGGAGCTGGGCATGTTTAGCCTGAAGAAGAGAAGGCTGAGCGGGGATATGATAGCCATGTATATATACGTGAGAGGAAGTCACAGGGAGGAGGGAGCAAGCTTGTTTTCTGCTTCTCTGGAGACTAGGACGCGGAACAATGGCTTCAAACTACAAGAGAGGAGATTCCATCTGAACATTAGGAAGAACTTCCTGACTGTGAGAGCCGTTCAGCAGTGGAACTCTCTGCCCCGGAGTGTGGTGGAGGCTCCTTCTTTGGAAGCTTTTAAACAGAGGCTGGATGGCCATCTGTCAGGGGTGATTTGAATGCAATATTCCTGCTTTTTGGCAGGGGGTTGAACTGGATGGCCCACGAGATCTCTTCCAACTCTTTGATTCTATGATTCTATGAAATCGTCAATATCTGCTGGACAATGGAGAAAGGCAGGGAGTTTCAGATAAACATCTATTTCTCAATTCAAGTGCAAGGAAAGCCTTTCAGCATTACAGTGATCCAAATATACGCCCCAACCACAGCTGCTGAAGAAGCAGAAGTAGATCAGTTCTTTGAGGATCTGCAGCACCTACTGGATAATACACCAAAAAGTGACATTATTTTTGTTACAGGAGACTGGAATACCAAGGTGAGAAGTCAAATGACAACTGGGATCACAGGCATGCATGGTCAGGGACAACAAAATGAAGCAGGATGCAGGCTGATAGAATTTTGCCAGGAAAACTCACTGTGTATAACAAACTGTGCTGGTACGGCTGTACCAGGAGCTCCAACTTTATTTGCTTTGTATTAAATGTTTGTTTGCAGTCCAAGGTTTCAGGAATTCTGCAGAAAGGTGGCTTCCTTTGGTTGCAGTCGTAGGGCAATGTCCATCATCGTTAAGTTTTGGTCCCGCCCCTTGCTCAGGGCAATTGGGAAGGGAAGGGAGCCATTTTTAGTTAGTCTCACCAAGGAAAGCTAATGTACAGGACGTGTGCAAGCTTCCCCTGTACAAAAGCTTCAACCCTTAAGACTTTCCGGGGGAGAACAGTCTTAAGAGCACCCAAAGATTTCCAGGGAAGCAGTCCTAAAGCTTTGAGGAATTTCGGAGGAACAGTTTGGAAGACCAAAGAACTCCAGCTGGAGTATATCCAAGCCCTTACTGGTAGGTCCACTCGGTGCTTCGAGACGCAGTTCGACCTGGTAGCGGAGCCCACATCAGTAAGGGTTAGATTACAGTCAGCCTGGGAGAAGTTAAAAAGGGGTTTTCCTTTAAAGTAAAGAAGAAGTTATTGAAGACAGTTGCCTGTCCTTTGTGGGCAAGTTTAGAAAGCCACCTGTTGCATAAAAGTCTGGAATCATTTGTTTAATTTTACTGAAGACAAGAGAAGTTTATGTTTGATTGTTCAGTAATAAAGAACTTTGTTATACTTCACAAGCTATCTAAAGATCATTTGTGGTGGAAAGCCTCTGAGAACTTCTCCTTGGGCCCCCTGGCTTCCTGCTGGGCAAAGGTTGCACGTCCTGTTCTAAAGGAAATTCTTTACAGGCCCAGCGCGTGACAGAACACAAACACTCTCTTCCAACAACCTAAAAGACGGCTTTATTCATGGACTTCACCAGATGGTCAGCACTGAAATCAGATTGACTATATCCTTTGCACCCAACGGTGGCGGACATCCATCCAGTCGGTGAAAACAAGACCTGGAGCTGACTGTAGTTCAGATCACGAACTTCTTATTGCTCAATTTAGAATTGCTCAGGGAAAACACAGAGACCAGTTAGATATGATCTCACTAACATTCCTAGCGAATATGCAGTGGAAGTGGAGAAGAGATTTAAAGGACCAGATTTAGTAAATAGAGTCCAGGAAGAACTATGGACAGAAGTTTGCGACATTGTTCAGGAGGCGGCAACAAAGTATGTCCCAAAGAAAAGGAAAACCAAGAAGGCGAGATGGTTGTCTGCTGAGACACTGGAAGTAGCCCAAGAAAGGAGGAAAGCAAAAGGAAACAGTGATAAGGGAAGATATGCCCAGGGGTTAGCCAGAAGAGATAAAGAACTATTTTAAAACAAGCAATGCATGGAAGTGGAAGAAGACAACAGAATAGGAAGGACCAGAGACCTCTTCCAGAAAATTAGAAACATTGGAGGTAAATTTCAGGCAAAAATTGGCATGATAAGGAACAAAGATGGCAGGGAACTAACAGAAGCTGAAGAGA